TCAATAAAACGAGAGCGCTCAGCTCGAGTCGCGGTATGCTGAGCGTCTTAAGAGGGGCGACTTAATTTTTCGCGGCGAGTAGACAGACTTGAGAGTCAGTCTGAGTGCGAAGAACCCGAATGTATACGACGGCAGCGTAAACCCGATTCGAGGCATCCGCGAATCCATGTAATTCAAAGGCGAGGTCGGTACCTCGTCTACCGGTCCACCGAGGGATCCAGATGCTATTCAAATTATCTAAGTTATCGTAATACGCCACCCACCTGTGACCGAGTTCGTCAGGAAGGGGGGTATCCCAATCACACTTGACTAACCACAACTCCTGTAAGAGGATTTTTGCTACAATGACGACAGGGGCGGCCCAGCCGAGGGGGTCATATAACCGAGCGATGACCGAGAGGATGGAACGCTTCGTTGGAGTGACCGGTGACGAAGTATCCACCAGAAAACGAAAAGCGTCATCGTGGGGAAGCCACGAAATTCCGAGCACTTTAAGAGTCTCGTCTTGCAGGAGATGATTTCTCATGTCAGTTTGACTAGCAGCTAGATTACGAAGAAGGTCAAGCGAATTCGACGCCCATTTTCGCAACTGAAAGCCACCCCGTAGAAGTAGCGCTGTCAATTGTTCGCGACATTCAATTAGCGACGTGGCGTCGTCAGCGCCGAACAGAGTGTCGTCGACGTAGACGGAGTCGCGTAGTATCGGGACAGCCGCTGGATAGTCAGATCTCTCGTCCAGTGACAACTGCTTCAGAACGCGCATCGCTAGATAAGGAGCGGGAGCGAGTCCGTACGTCACTGTCAGGAGTCGGAAATGTGCGACCGGCTTGTCGCTGGACGGGCGCCAAAGAATACGTTGAAAATCGGCATCGAGCGGATTGACAAGAATTTGTCGGAACATCTTAGCGATATCCGCCGTATAGACGAAGCGCCACTGCCGCCAGCGGAGCAGGATAGCGGAAAGGTCCTGCTGTAACTTCGGCCCGACCAGTAGGTGATCGTTCAATGACGTACCGTTTGTCGTCTTGCACGAAGCGTTAAACACGACGCGTAATTTTGTGGTGCTGCTAGACTCACGCACAACTGGATGATGCGGAATATTCACGGGGTGAAGAGCGATGTCGCTAGGACGGTCGATGCCGGACGATCACGCTCATATGCCCCAAGGAGAGATATTCCGCCAAAAATTCCTGGTACTGCGCGGAGAGTTTCGCGTGCCGGCGCAGCCTCTTTTCCATCTTATCGTAGAGTGTTATAGCAATAGGCAGCGAATCGCCTATGTCGATCGGGG